CGGTGAAGAAGCCCTTGGAAAAAAAGAATAACCCTCTCCTGGGATCTGAAGCTCTGACCCAAAGAATGGGAGGGGGACGATGCTGACCATGTGAGAGAGATCGACAGTGCATATGCAGCGTGGACTGAAAAATAAATACCCGCAACCTAAAAGTTAAAAGTTAGATTTTATCCGGTGAGAATGTTAGGACTCTATCCTGGGAGACAATACCTCAAGGGACCCCCCAGAGAGCTGACTCCAAGGAGGCAGAGGAGAAGCTAGGCTATATTGGAGGTTGCAGCAAGGGGCAGGTAATCTGAATATGAAAAAAATTACTGTTAATTAAGGCAAACTAAATCTCTCACAGGAAGAGATTTAGCAATCTTCTATGTATGGGAAGATGCAGACCACAGCGGGCCTTGCTGAAATCCTTTTTTTCATGTGCATCTAGCTATCTGGGGCCAGTCCCGCTTTCATTATTGTTCACATCCTAATTCCTTGTTTAGCATAAGAGAAGGTGGATGTGGCCGATGGCCACCTCTCACATCCATCCAGCTCCTCAGTCACTTACCGGGAGGAAGTAGCCGATGGCTTCCAAACAGCTGGCTTTGTTTCACCTGGGCTCATAAATTTGTATTTGGAAAAGGCTTGTTGACTGGTGGTAGAGCAGAAAATATTTCATTTCACAGCAGTAAAACTTCTGGGAGTTCTAGAATATCCTAGGATTTTAAAACAGACTATCTGGTTACTTCCTCTGAGACTGTCCTGGGTCTTTTGCTCATCAGTAAACAAGGGCGGGGGAGACGAAGGGGAAATACTGCAGGGGTACCTTCCAGGCCTAAGGCTGGTGACATTAACTTCAACAAGGGGAACAGGGTGGTCGGGTTAGAAGCTGGAGTTCCTTGGAGCTTCTGGAGTTCCAGAACATACGGATTTCTCACGCTTTTTGCTGCGGGTGGAAGTGAAGGGGCACATTTCCTGCTGGTGGATGGATCTAACATAACCACAGATACCAGGCCTGAGTCCAGGAGGGAATGGTCAGGCCCGGGCCCTCCCTGTGCACCCAGGGGCACAGGTGGAGCAGGATGTGGAAATCTCAGCCACACCATTTGTGCATTCCTTCATTCATTCACCCAGCAAGTGATCCTTGAGCCCTTCCAGCATGGCAGGCATTGTACTAGGCTCTAAATAACCCATAGTGGGAAAACAGGTACAATGTCTGGATGCTTGAAGCTTCTGTTCTGTTGGGAGAGGTGGAGGTTGGAAAACTAGGCAAATGAAGACATAAAATCCATGCAGGAGGTTTTGGGGACAGGGCTTAGAGGTCACAAAGTCCTCTGGAGGCAGAGGCATTGGCCAGAAGGACAGGGGAGAGGGACAGGCCAGCGGCCCAGCAGGGAGGGAACAAGTGGGAACCAGAGGGGGAAGTTGCTGTGACAGGAGGGAAGAACCTACGGAATTTCAGGCCAGGGAGGGGGGCTGGGAAGAGAGAGGGCTGGAGGCCTGAAAATGGTTTTAGACCACAGACTGTGGAAGCCAGAGGATGGCTGTCAGCAGGAAAGTAACAACCCGCCCTCCCTGCACCCCACCCTGCACTGGAAAGATATAATTGCAGCAACTTTGGAGAGTGGGTGGGGCTGGCTGGACACAGAGGGACGTGGAGAACACAGCAAGGCCAAGCGGGACAGGCCAGGTGGTAGGCTGCCCTTCCAGGTGGTCAAAGGCCGTCACCTGTGGCCTTGGCTTCCCGGTCTCATCAACTTCCTCCGCCCAGGACATTCATTATCCTCCCGCACTGGTCCCCCTGAGATGGGGGTCGGAGAAGAGCCCCTCAGAGCGCAGTGACAGCTTCAGGCAAATGACTTCTCCAGGGAGGGATTGGCTTCATCCAGCGGTAGGTGGAGGAACCCCCCCACTGAGCAGATACAAGCTGAGAAAATGTGCTTTGGCACCTTCTCACCCTTCCCAGGTGGCGCAGAAGTGAAGGATCCACCTGCAATGCTGGGAGACCTGGGCTTGATCCCTAGGATGGGAAGATCCCCTGGAGAAGGGAATGGCAACCCACTCCAGTATTCTTGCTGGAGAACCCCGTGGATGGAGGAGCCTGGTGGGCTACCGTTCATGGGGTCACAGACAGTCGGACACGACTGAGCTTCTAACACTCACTCAGTGACCTAAAGGGACAGAAAACACCTCAGTATTCCTCAATGCCATTTAAAAAGTCTGTTAACTTTAGAACCTATTATACAGAGTGAAGTGAGTCAGAAAGAGAAAGATAAATATCGTGTTCTAACGCATATATGTGGAATCTAGAAAAACGGTACTGAAGAATTTATTTACAGGGAAGCAATGGAGAAACAGACATAGAGAATGGACTTATGGACATGGGGAGAAGGGAGGAGAGGGTGAGATGTATGGAAAGAGTAACATGGAAACTCACATTACCATACGTAAAATAGATAGCCCATGGGAATTTGCTGTATGGCTCAGGAAACTCAAACAGGGGTTCTGTACCAATCTAGAGGGGTGGGATGGGGAGAGAGAGGGGAGGGAGGTTCAGAAGGGAGGGGATGTATGTATACCTATGGCTGACTCATGTCAAGGTTTGACAGAAAACAACAGAATTCTGTAAAGCAATTATCCTTCAATAAAAAAATTAAAAAAAAAAGCCTGTTAACATTAATGTTCCCAGTTAGCAATAAAGTGAAAGTGAAGTCGCTCAGTCGTGTCCGACTCTTTGTGACCCCATGGACTGTAGCCTACCAGGCTCCTCTGTCCATGGGATTTTCCAGGCAAGAAGACTGGAGTGGGTTGCCATTTCCCTCTCTAGGGTATCTTCCCGACCCAGGTATCGAACCCAATTCTCCCGCATTGTAGGCAGACGCTTTACCGTCTGAGCTACCAGGGAAGTTCTGCCATGCATGCAGTAACATACATGTGGAGTTGGCAAGGTGAAGAGTCTATTGCAATGTTGACAATCTAGAGGAGAGGACCCGAAAATAATGAAGAGATAGCTTTGAAAAAATCTGCTGTTGTTCCCAAAGGAACTCGCAGGAGAACAATTGCTTTCAAATCTTGTCATGAGATGAGGAGACTCAGTTTACAGGATGATGGGACCAGAGTTGTCTAATGCTCCTATGTTAGTTACTCTTTGGCTGCCTGAAGGCTCCTGAGGTGTCAGGGTACATGGCAACAGGTTGAGGTTTGAAGTTCATCTTTGGGGAGCCCATGTCTTCATTGGCTACAACCTCCTCCCTCTCAGAATTTCTCTCCTTCTGAGCACCAGGCACCCTTTAAGCATCTATCTTCCCACCCTCCTCTCCCGTGAGGTACCCAGGGCCACCCCTGCAGCCCCTCCCTGGTGGGACCCTTCAGGAAGTGGCTGCTCTTCCTCCTGCCGTGGTGCAAGCTCACAGCTCGGGGTCCCTTCCCTGCACTGCTTGCTCTGTGCTCGGGGCCACCAGCTCATTGGACCTGTAATCCAGGCTATTGGGCCCTGGTGCCAGCAGACACCTCACTGAGGTCAGCAGAGACCAGAACACTACTTGCTTTCAACGCTGTCTTTATTTTATTTTATTTTATTTAAAATATGGAACGCTTCACGAATTTGCGTGTCATCCTTGCGCAGGGGCCATGCTAATCTTCTCTGTATCGTTCCAATTTTAGTATATGTGCTGCCGAAGCGAGCACTCAACGCTGTCTTTATTTTAAAGAGAAAGTGAAGTCACTCAATTGTGTCCGACTCTTTGCGACCCCACGGACTGTAGCCCACCAGGCTCCTCAGTCCATGGGATTTTCCAGGCAAGGATACTGGAGTGGGTTGCCATTTCCTTCTCCAGGGGATCTTCCCGACCCAGGAACCGAACCCAGGTCTCCTGCGTTGTAGGCAGGTGCTTTACCATCTGAGCTACCAGGGAAGCCCCTTAAAAAGCAGCCAGACAGAATTCATTATTCTCGAAGCAGACTTCCCTTCTTGGGCAGGCCTGCCAAGTGGTCACCAAGGAGACACAGAAGCAGTGGGATGCAAAGATGAAGCCTCTAGACACACGTGTTTCTCCAGGTCTGGGCTGCAGGACCCTGGCTGAGTCCTCCCCCAGGACAGAGTCAAGTGCCAGATGAGGCTCTTTGTTTATCTATGTGTCCCCACATCACACCCCAGCTCAGGAGCCCATGGTTCCTGTCAGTGTTCTGTAGAAGCTGTATACATCCTGGACCAACACTGAAATAAAAAAGCAGCCACGTTGGTTTTCCCGTGGTCATGTATGGATGTGAGAGTTGGACCATAAAGAAAGCTGAGCGCTGAAGAATTGATGCTTTTGAACTGTGGTGTTGGAGAAGACTCTTGAGAGTCCCTTGGACTGCAAGGAGATCAAACTAGTCCATCTTAAAGGAAATCAGTTCTGAATATTCATTTGAAGGACTGACGCTGAAGCTTAAACTCCAATACTTTGGCCACCTGATGCGAAGAACTGATTCATCGGAAAAAAGGCCCTGGTGCTGGGAAAGATTGAAGGTGGGAGGAGAAGGGGACAACAGAGGATGAGATGGTTGGACGGCATCACCAACCCAATGGACATGAGTTTGAGTAGGCTCCTGGAGTTGGTGATGGACAGGGAAGCCTGGCATGCTGCAGTCCATGGGGCCACAAAGAGTTGGACATGACTGAGTGACTGAACTGAACTGATTTGCTTGTTCTCTCCTTTCCCCATATTCTAATCATATCCTTCCTTGAGCCTTGGTGAGCGTCGCGCCTCCTCCATGGATGTCTTACAAAAACTCTACCCACCTTTTCTCTGTCTTCTTCAAGCTATGTTATTCACTCAGCAACTGTTTGCCATTTCCAGCTGTGCTAGGTTGTTCTGGGCCAACATGGTCAAGCTGGGTGCGCTGCGGTTCCTTACATTTCCTTCCCTGGGTTAGAGTTGGCCAAAGCGATTTGTGTGAGCTTTGGAAGGCAGGAGTGAAGTGTGCCTGTCACTCGCAGAAGTTCCTCGTGGTCACGTCTAATGATGGATGGATACAGAGCTGCCCAGCAGCTCCCAGCTTGTGCCCGGTCCTCTTGCCCTGTGTCCAGCTCCTCTGCCCAGCTGCTGGCTTGGCTGACCACAGTGGGTGCAAGCCCAGTATCAGGCCATAGACCCTCAGAGGTAGAAGCCACTGAGGCATGGCCCCAAATCCCCCTCCATAAGACCCCTTTATTGTCTCACATGGGGGCTGCCCACCCCAGGTTCTCAGATTTCCCCACAAGCTCTGACTTTTCTATTAGAGCCACAGGTGGCCTAAAAGATTCTTCTCTGATCCTTCAAACTTTGCCTTCCAAGTCTCCACTTCTTAAGCCACTCCAACCTTTATGTGAGGTCTAATTCCCATTAAACCCCTTTTCCCTAAAACATGGCTTTGCTCTTTTCATTGATCTTTGACTGGTACACCAACCAACCCTCCCAGATAATCTTTGAGGCTGCTGCATGGGGCCATGTCTTACATTTCTTTGAACTACTTTATGGTGCCCAGGGCAATGCTGGAGACAAGTAGATGTCCAGTGGTGTTGGCTGATTGATAGACTGAAAAAAAAATGTTCCTACAAATATTTTTGGATAAATAACCCTCCTGCTGCTTCCCCTCTCCCAGAAAATGTAGGAACCTGCTGCTAAATTCTAGGGCATGGAGTCATTCAAGTGTCAGCTTTTGTGTGTGAAGATCCACCATCATTTCTTAGGACTCGGTCACAGGAAAGTGGAGTGCAAAGCAGCGATTGAATCCATTTGCTTTTTCCCTCTGCACCTAGGTGATCAGGTCTCAGAGGCAGACTAGTATCAGGTGAGTGACCAGGGGAGGGAGACTCAGGAGAAACTCACGTCCAATAGTGTTCAAGGCTCTGCTTTAACAAGTGGGTAGTCAGAAATATTAACGACATGTGAGGAACACTGTCACTCTTGGGATGTCTAGTAATCCATGTGTTCAAGAATGTGTGAGTCTTTCTAAGAGGCAAGACTAGACCTAGAAGTCTGATGGTCAAACAAACAAGTCATACAAGTTAAGTGCGGTTTTCACCACTTGCCTTCTTCTTTCTTTCTTCATTTAAAAAACATATTTTGAAGTCTTATAATCATTTTTATTTTCTTGGGCTCCAAAATCACTGCAGAAGGTGACTGCAGCCATGAAATTCAAAGACACTTGCTCCTTGGAAGGAAAGCTATGACAAACCCAGACAGTGTATCAAAAAGCAGAGACATCGCTTTGCCAACAAATGTCCATCTAATCAAAGCTATGGTTTTTCCAGTAGTCATGTATGGATGTGAGAGTTAGACCATAATGAAGGTTGAGTGCCAAAGAACTGGTGCTCTTGGATTGTGGGGCTGGAAAAGGCTCTTGAGAGTCCCTTGTACAGCAAGAAGTTCAAAGCAGTCAATCCTAAAGGAAATCAGTCCTGAATATTCATTGAAAGGACTGATGCTGAAGCTCTAATACATTGGTCACCTGATGCAAAGAACCAACTCATTTGAAAAGACCCTGATGCTGGGAAAGATTGAAGGCAAGAGGAGAAGGGGACAGCAGAGGATGAGATGGTTAGATAGCATCACTGACTCAATGGACGTGAGTTTGACCAAACTCTGAGAGATAGTGGAGGACAGTGAAGCCTGGCATGCTGCAGTCCATGGGGTCGCAAAGAATCAGACATGACTTACCAACTGAACAGCAAAATTTCCTTCTTTCAAACACTTAACACAGAATTTATCTATGTTTGATGATTTTGCTCTCTGAAGTCATTGTGTGGGGACCCAAATTTATTCCTGTTAACTCACGTTCCTGGTAATTTTTTCTTTGCAAACTTGATCTCGGGTTGTGAGCTTGAATTTGTTTGATCTTTATACTGGGGAATCCTGAGAGCCCAAACTGGGAATTTCCCTCCAGAGAAGACTTTGCATTTGGTTCCACCAGGATTTGGCATACCACAGTGTCTTCAGGTGGTCAAACTTAATGCAGGAATCTCAAAGTCATCTTTTCACCTAGCAGCAGGTGCAAGTCTCAGATTTTTATTGCTGAGTGGGATCATCATTTGCTCTTACATCAATTGTACCAGATCCCTCTGTTTGGAACTTGTGACTCTCTGCTCTGATTTCAGCTCAATAATTTTTTAAAAAATGTGTCCTTGGAGATTTAACTTACTTCCCGGAGCCCAGACACATAAAAAATAATATAAAGTCCATTTTATCTAGGACCTCACTTTGTAGAGGGAGAAAAGTCTGAGTACTGTGGGGGAGCCCCACATCTTATTCTCTCCAGGGCTGTTTCCCTGGATAACTCAGCTTCACTGAGCCCATAAAATCAGTTTCTCTCCTTTGCCTTATTTTTAGCAGCAGTCTTGAACTATCATTATACACTGATGATGCATAAATGGATACTGTAGTTGAAGAAAGGCACTTTCAAAAAGTCTATTCTAGTAAACTGCTCTGTAAATGTCACAGAATGAGACTTGAAAAGCTTTCAAGGCATTGAAACCAGAAATAGTATGTACAACTTGGTCCATTTTTTGTGCCCACTTCCTTCTAGGGCAGATTTTAGCCCTTCCTGAGGCCCTTTTTTTAACTCCAAAGTATTCCATGTTGGAATTATCTATAGAAAGTTAACTTTGAGAATTAGATTTCTAACTTGCTAGTCTAGCAAGAGAAGTCCTGTGCAAGCATAAAAGCAGTAAGAAAGGTATGACCAGTATGTTCTTTAAAGACATTGCAATAAAAGTAGTCAGTCTCTTCCTAGAATTTTTGTCTGATGCTCTGTGCAAAGAGATCCAACCAGTTCATCCTAAAGGAGATCAGTCCTGGGTGTTCACTGGAAGGACCGATGCTGAAGCTGAAACTCCAATACTTTGGCCACCTGATGCGAAGAGCTGACTAATTTGAAAAGACCCTGATGCTGGGAAAGATTGAAGGCAGGAGGGGAAGGGGATGACAGGGGATGAGATGGTTGGATGGCATCACCAACTCAATGGACATGAGTTTGAGTAAACTCCGGGAGTTGGTGATGGACAGGAAGCCCTGGTGTGCTGCGGTTCATGGGATCACAAAGAGCTGGACATGACTGAGCAACTGAACTGAACTGAAGTGTTAAGAGCAGGCCAGGGGGAGCAGATTATTAGTTGCAATGCCTGGTGTTAATGAAAGCCATTGAATTCATGTTGATGTATGGCAGAAACCAACATATTTGGGTTGCATAGCCACTCAGAGTTAGGGTCTAAAGGTAGGGGTGTGGTCCTCTTCTGTCCCCATGTCCTGAAGCTTTATTTCACTCTGCACCACTTAATTTTGGCTTTAATGTCCCATAAATGTAACTTATTTGCTCAAGAAAGAATTCAAAGTATTTAGTCATAATTTCCTTTTCACAGGGGATAGGTGAAGTAATTTATTTTCTGGGGAAAAAAGAAGACATGCTGGCATGACCTGCGTTGTATTCTGTTGAAAACAGGGAGTACTCAGAAGTTGTCCTCTCTGAATGTTCCCCTTTGGGATAAAAAGGAAAGAGTTAAATTACAAAATTCTGTTTTTCTCTAAAATTAAAAGAGTCTTCAGATTTACTTGGCAACAGTGTATACAAACTGGCCTATCCTTGGGAAAAGATGAGAACATTGATTTCTATTAATCTTCTCAAGAAAAACAGAAGTTTTGTGACAAAGCGGTCACGTGACTAAAAATTGTGGATGTACATATCTTCACGGCAGTCTTCTTACAGCCACGATGTTCTGCATGACTCACCTGACATAGTGAGGGGACTAGCCCCAGTTGTTCTGAAAATCTGCAATATCTTGTCAGCTCAGTCTTATGCATGCTGATTATCTTCAGTTAAAAGGGATTAAAGTGAAGAGCTATACTGAAACTGGAGAGGAAGACGAGCGTCCTTTTTTGAAAATCTGAATTAGACATGGAAACAACCCAAATCTCCATCAACAGATGAATGTTTAAAGAAAATACGGCACACACACACAATGAAGAGCTACTCAGCCTTAATAAAGGAGGAGGTCCTGCCATTTGTGGCAATACAGATGAAGCTGGAGATCGTTATAAATGAAATACACCAGATTCAGAAGGACAGACACTGCTTCCATTTATATGTGTGTGAAAGTTGCTCAGTCATGTCTGACTCTTTGAGACACCATGGACTACACAGTCCATGGGTTTTTCCTGGCCAGAATTATTGGAGTGAATAGCCAGCCATTCCCGTCTCCAAGGGATTTTCCCAACCCAGAGATCGAACCCAGGTCTCCCACATTGCCTGCAGGTTTCTTTCCCAACTGAGCCCCTAGGAAAGCAGGATTCCATTTTATGAGGAATCTAAAATAGTCAAACACATAAAAGCAGCAAGTAGAATGGAGGTGGCCAGGGGCTGGGGAAGATGGGCAGTTGTTGTTCAATGGATACAAAGCTTCAGTTATTCTAGAGGAAAGAGTCCTAGAGATCTACCGTACAACGTAGTGCTTGTAGTTAATGATACAGGATTGTGTACTTCAAAATGTGTTAAGAGGTAAATCTCATGTTTGAGATCCCGGTTTGATTCCTGGGTTGGGAAGATCCGCTAGAGAAGGGATAGGCTACCCATTCCAGCATCCTCAGACTTCCCTTGTAGCTCAGCTGGTAAAGAATCCACTGCAATGTGGGAGACCTGGGTTCGATCCCTGGGTTGGGAAGATCTGCTGGAGAAGGGAAAGGCTACCTGCTTCTGTATTCTGGCCTGGAGAATTCCAGGGACTATACAGCCCGTGGGGTAGCAAAGAGTGGGACACGACTTTCACTTTCTTTCAGTTTAGTGTTCTTACCACAAACAAAAGCAAGAACCACAAAAGGCCACAAGGAAACTTTTGGAGGTAATGGACATGTTTATTACCTTGATTGTGGCAGTTGTATCATGGGTGTATGCATGTCTCAAACTCATCAAATTGTATCAATTTAACATGTGCAATTTTCTTTTTGTATCAGTTAAGTCTCAATAAAATTCTAGTATTCTTGCTAGGAGAATCCCATCAATAGAGGAGTCTGGAGGGCTACAGTCCATGAGGTTGCAAAGAGTTGGACATGACTGAGGGTCTGAGCACAAACCTCAATAAAACTGTCAAAAAAGGGGGAAAAAATCTAAATTGTAGATGTTGTAAAGAAAAGAATTTAGCTCTTACAGTT